ATGCCCTGTGTTTATCTTACAGATGTTTCCCGGAAGCCATCCTGAGCCTCCCTGTGGTGTTCAGTCCATGTCCCTGTACTTCTCTCTGCTCTCCCCCCTGCCAACTGGTGTTCATCTGGGACCAGTTCAGTGGGCTTCCCCAGAGGTGGGGCTCGGTGGCGTGTTTTTAAAGCTCCAGGTGGTTATAATGTCCCAGCATGCATCCAGGCTGTGAGCCCTGTGCTGGGCACCCATGCCACCCCACATCTCTCAAATGACAGGCCTGCTTGCCCTGACTGAGCAGAGCTTGAAGGTGGCCCAGGAACCACACACTGACAGGTCTGGCTAGTTGGTCATTGTTTTTCCCAGGCCCTCAGGCCTTCGTGTGCCCATGGGGATCTAGTACTGGCATTCCCCGCAGGATTCTCAGCTAGTGTGGGAGGAGGCGGTCTGAGCTATTTTGAAGTTTTCCAAACGTTTATGGCTGGAATCCCATGAACCTATCATGGTAAAGCTGGTTATTTCAGCCAATCAGAAGCTCAGCTTGGCAGATATGTGCAGTTTTAATGAATAAAATTGGAGAGCCGCCCTGGCTAGTTTTCTCAGTGGTTAGAGAGTCAGTCCTCAGACTAACGGGTCACAGGTTCAGTTCTGGTCAAGGGCACATATCTCCATTGTAGGCTCAATCCCTGGCCCCAGTCAGGGTGCCTGCGGGAGGCAACCCATCCATGTGTCTCTCTCACATCGATGTTTCTCTCTCTGTGTCTCTCATCCTCCCTTCCACACTCTCTAAAAATCAATGGGAAAAAAATATTCTCGGGTAAGGATTAACAAAAAAAAAAAATGGGAGAGCCATAGTTGTTACTGAGTAAGTGGGGCTTGGTAGCCAGAGATTTTAAAAGGATTGGTCTGGTGGTCTGGCAAGATCACTTCTGTCAAGTCCCGCTCTTTGCTATGTGAAACATTTAACCGGCACCCCAGGCTCCCCCAGCACCTGCTGTACCACAGCTGGGCTGGTCAGGTGGTGCTGGGCATCGTTGTCAGGACCAGGAGTGAGGAGAGAATGCTGACACCTGCTCGGTGCGGGTGACAGCAGCCACCAACTCCCACCAGGTCTACCTCCTGCACCCCCTCATTCTGTGCCTATCAGGCAGTCATCAGTTTCCTTCCCACCTTCAGTGTCTCCCTCCACCCTGTGCACCCCAACCAAATTGATTTTTTTAAAGCATCACTTTGCACATGTCACCACTCTCCTTAAAACCAACCTTTGGGGTATTTCTGCACATAAACCCCCATTTCAGCCAATCTGCTTCACCCCTTTTAAACAAGCCACATGGAGCTCGTGCCAGCCTCTGTCCTCAGCTCACCCCCAGCCTCTCTCAACCCATTTTATACTGTTCTCATGTTTTGAAAGATGCACTTTCTCCCCCTGTACCCTCTGCAGCCCGTCTCCTTTCTCCTTTTGACAATTTATGTAACAGGATTAAAACCCCTTTCTGAAGGGTTGACAGATACTCAAATAACCATGGTGAAGACCAGGTACTTTTCATTTTTGGAAGTGTAAGTACAACTAGCTCTCCGTTCAATGTATTTCATGGTTTGACTGTGTATTTAAATTCCTTCCATTTTATTTTGGGTCTCAGTGTAAGGTTATAAGGGATTGCCCTGGTAACGGTTTAATCATCCTTGAATTCAGTTGTTTTTGTTGTCTTGTGTTTTTTCCCTCACGGCAGAGGTTGTGTTGTATAGCTCCCACTCGTGATTTTGTTTACTAGTTGAATTGTTGTGTCAAAGTATATGTATTCTGGTGGGTTGTTTGTTTGTTTTTAGCTTAATACTTTATGTTTCTAAGATTAATTATTAGTTAAGCGTATATATCTATATTTTTATTGATTTTAGAGAGGAAGGGAGAGAGAGAAACATCGATCGACTGCCTTCTGCACGTGCCCTGACCGGGGATTGAACCCTCAACCTGGCTCTGTGCCCTGACTGGGAATCAGAATCGAACCTGCAGCCTTTTGGTGTGTGGGATGATGTTCCAACCAACTGAGCCACACAGGCCAGGGCATTAGTTAATCATATTTTTACTATTTCTAGTAAATGTAGATAATTTAGTCTGATTTTTTAAAATAGTTCGAGCTTTTTCTATACTCCATAAGTTTAACATGTGGTATTTCTTGTTATTATATTATTACTTTCCTTTTGGCCCAAGTGTTATTATTACTTTTTTATATTTCCAAGTGATGAATGCTTAAGCCATTATTGTTATTTCTTACTTTATTGTGGTTTCAACATTTCAAAGTGTCCATAGAATTTCTTTGGGCCTGAATATATTATCAGCTTTTATAAAACATTTGTGTACTCTTAAGAAATGTGTTTTTACCCCATCAGTTCTATTTGTTAGCTCAGTTTTTAAACTATTTTATACAAATTAATATTCTCTCTAATTTTGTTTACTTCAGAGTTCTGAACCTGGGGTCCATGGACTGCCTAGGGGTCTTTTGGCACACACGGGTTTTAAAAGGTGTGGACCCCTAGGGACTGAACAAAGCTGTGTGGACATGCGTATGAGTGAATTGTTCTGGGTCTGTAGCATTCTCCTTATTTTGGAAGGGCTCTGTGGCCCCAAAATAGTTAAGAACACTCATTTAACTGATCTAATTGTAGTCTGATTTTGTGTTTTTTTCTTTATGTAGTTTCTGTTCCTTTTTTATGTGTGTTGCTATGTTAGTCATGCAATTTTCTCAACTCTTTTTGGAGGAATAGACAGGGTATAAGTTGTCAATAAGTAAGTACCATGGTGTTTGGGGTATATATATATATATATATCCCCATATATATATAATAGTGATATATTGAAAAACTGTGCCTTTTGGTGCCCTATTTGCCTCTTCATGCTTCTAACTTAAACTTCTCTTTTCCAAATATTATAATTCCTTTGCTTTTCTTGCATTTGCATGGGAGTTTATTTAGCTCAGCATTTTAATTTTTAAATGTGTGTATATATTTTGCTCTATATCTGTAACTTATAAACACCAAATTCTTGGATTTGATTTTCTGATTCTTTCTGTAATTCTTTTCCTTCTTGTGTAAGAAGTTCTGTCATTAACATTATTGTTTAGAGTAAGGTAGAAATTTGCATTTTAACATTTTAGTATCTGTTCATTCTTTTTTTTTTTTTTTTTTTTTTTTTTTTTTTAAATATATTTTATTGATTTTTTACAGAGAAGAAGGGAGAGAGATAGAGAGTTAGAAACATCGATGAGAGAGAAACATCGATCAGCTGCCTGCTGCACATCTCCCACTGGGGATGTGCCCGCAACCCAGGTACATGCCCCTGACCGGAATCGAACCTGGGACCTTTCAGTCCGCAGGCCGACGCTCTATCCACTGAGCCAAACCGGTTTCGGCTCTGTTCATTCTTTTAACCCACAAAGGCCATGCTCACTCATGCGTGGAGTCGCATTTTGGGGTCGACTAGAAGTCTGCCATTGGGCGTACCCGCTCCTTGCCTTCATCAGTGCCAGACTCTGTCTGAAGCCCGCTCTTCAGGTCACGGGCTCTATTTGCAGTGTCCTTGGCTGCAACGTGGGGGAGTGATGCCACCTCGTAGCCTCGTGGAGCCCAGAGGACTAATGAAAACAAACCTGCGTGGCAAACAGCGGGCACAGATGATGACTCCACTATTAGTATTTCGAATATTGGATTTTCTGTTCTTGCTCCTCAAGTTCTTTGAACATAAAACATTACATTGCGCTTTCCGTTTTAGAGAATCCTACCAGATGTAGCAAAGAATTAAGTAGACATCACAGATGCATCCCGCCCTCCCAGAGTGAACCCACAGTCATTAGAAGAGAGGTGGGGACCCTGGTCTCATCACCCCCTTCCCCACCACCTGTCTGTCCCAGGTTGGCCCCTCCTCAACCTTCCCCTTCCTCCCTTAACCCCCTCCTGTGGGCGGGGGGGGGGAGGGCACAACTGCAGAGGCTCAGAAGATGGCCCCTTATGGCCACTCCTGTTACAGTGGGGAAACAGGCCAGTGACTTACCAAAAGTGCGATGTAGTGTCAGACCCCCCCGGCAGTCGTGGGGAAGAACATGTCTGGATGCTACGCTGGAGCCCCAGCCAGTTGCTGCCGGGGTTTATCAGAGGTGGCAGGTGGGTTTAGTCATCTCGGGCCAAGGTGAAAACCAAATTGCCTCAATCTGTTCAGAGTTGCCCAACTCTTGGGGATAATTGGACATTTGCAAACATCACACAAAATGGATATATTTACTAGAATGCCGATGCCTCGATTTACTGGGGTGGGGAAAGAGAACCCCTTTTCTTATGGGAGAACCCCATCTTCAGTATCTGATAACCCAGAAACCAAGGTGGGTGTGAAATTGGTGTGTCTCTCACATTGACCTTTCTCTCCTTCCCTCTCTCTCTCTAAAAATTGATAGGAAAAATATCCTCAGGTGAGGATTACCAAAAAATAAAAACTGATTCTGCTGGAGTGTCCTGGACCCCTTGGGGGGGGTCCGGCCTGATGGGGTGAAAGGGAGGAGGTGAGGGTGGGCAGGAGCTGAGCTGGGCATGGAGGGAGCAGGGCATCCCAGGGGGCGAGGGCCGGGAACAGAGGGCATCTGCACCCAGGCAGGAGTGAGAGCTTATCTGGCGGTCACCGGCCATGGCCAGCTCCGTCCGACCAGGAGGGAGGGACATAATGGGCTGGAAGGAGAGGGCAGAGGGACTGAATGGTGACCGGACTCCTTGTGTCCTGGTCAGGTTCCTGGGAGGTGCCCCAGGAAACTCCTGCTGGGCACAAAGGATTCTCCCACCCACCCCGAGAACCAGGCAAAGCCACAGGTTAAATACGAGACTAGAAAAGAATGAGCAGAGAGCATGGGTTCTGATTGACAAGAACGTTTTGAGAATTGATTGGGTTCAGGGAACCGGGCTGGGGATGACTCAGGTGGAAGGGGAGACCTTCCCAGAGGTCCCAAGGCTCCGCCCCCGAGGGTAGGGGGCTCAGGGCCCTAGGAACACTCCGCGGGGACCAGGGTCTTCTCCACGGTGCCCCCCTCGTGCGTGACCTGGCAGCTGTAGCTGCCGCCAGATTTCCACTTGTCGGGCGTCAGGCTCAGGTAGCTGCTGGCCGCGTACTTGTTGTTGCTCTGTCTCCAGGGCTTGGTGGTCTCCACGCCCTGGCTGACGGGGTTGCCGTTTGCCTTCCAGGCCACCGTCACGCTGCCCGGGTAGAAGTCGCTGATGAGACACACCAGCGTGGCCTTGTTGGTGTGGAGCTCCTCAGCGGAGGGCGGGAACAGAGTGACCGAGGGTGCGGACGCGGGCTGACCTGTGTGGACAGAGAAGGGGTGTGAGACGCAGAGGGGGAGCGGGTGTTGGTGCAGCCCCCCTGCTAATCTGCATCCTCTGTGACCCGTCCATTGTGGCCATGTTTGTTCCCCCAGGGGACCCTCCTTCTTTGTCTCCTTTCTCTCAGCCCCTGGAGAGCAGGCCGCCCCCACCCGTCCAGAAGCCCTTCCAAGGCACCTCCCGGTGATCTGGTCAAGCCCCTCCATCTGTAGCCTCAGTTTCCCCAAGTGTAAGCGGAGCAGGCTGACCTCCTTCCTCCAGTCTCCGGAGTCTGAGTGTGGGGTCTGCTCCGAACTCCCGAGCCCTCGGCCCAGCGTCAGGCCCCACCTCACTTCCTTCTTCTGGAGCCCCAGGCCTCTGCATTTGGGCTCCCCCAACCGGCCTGATGGTGTGTGGGGAGGCCCAAGCCTGAGATCAGCACAGAGAGGGGCCTGGCGCCCCCCGTCGCCCTTGTGCACCCAGCGTGGCCCCATACCGGGCCTCAGCTCTCCAATGAGGGTGAGGCAGAATCCCAGGGGTCTCTCAGGCTCTGCCCTGCCTCCCGCCCCTTGTGCCCTGACCCAGCACCCCTGCACCTCGGCTGCATCTTGGCGCTGCTCCCCCTGATGACGGGCACTGTGGCCCCATGCCACACCAGGACCTCTGACAACTGACTTCATGGGGCAGTTTGCAGCTCTGAGCCCCCTGTCCACTCCTCACATTGTCTTCTCTGAGGCTAATGCTCCCTAGAGGAAGGTGGGTGGCCGACCCGTGGACAGAGATTATGGCTCCAGGGACAGGGGAGTCTGTGCCTCACAGAACCTGCTCCTCTCTGACCGCTGTCCTGGGAGGCTGAGCCGCTGGCCACCTTACCTGCCGCACCTGTGTCTGCCTCCCCATGTCCTCACAGCCCGGAGAGCTTTAGCTCCGCCTTCCATAGGCCTCCCTCGGGCTGACCCTGTGCCCCTGGAGGTTGTCACAGCCTCAGCCCTGTCCCCAGGCGACTGCATGGCTCTCCCCACGTGGATGGGCATCGAGCCCTCGGCCCAGACCCCGGGGCCTCCAGACTGCCTAGGCCCCTTGTGGGTGTCTGTCCTGCAAGAGAGACAGGAGCCCCATTCCTAGGCCAAAACCCAGCCTCAGCCCCCGGGACCCAGCTGCTTCAAGCTGTCAGACTCTGGACGTGGCTACTCCTGCTGTTGGGCCCTCCCTGCTGGTTACCCTGAGACCAACCCGTCTCCCCCAGACCTTATAGAGAGAGGTGGGGATCGGCTATTTTTCCCTATTAGATATTTTTATTGATTTTTATTTTGGGGAGGGGGGGGAGGAAGGGAGAGGGAGAGAAACATCAAAATGCCCCCTGACCAGGAATCAAGCCAGCAACCTTTTGGTGCCCAGGACGCTGACGCCCAAACAACTGAGCCACACAGGCCAGGGCCTGGAGACGGTTCTGACGGCCGGGAGGACGGAGGGGAAGCAGCCTACAGAGAGAGGAGCGTTTCCCAAGACAGCAGAGGGTGGGACGCAGGGAAAGTGACGAGAGCGCTTACCCAGGACGATG